TTCAATCCACTCTGAGGATATCTGTGCACATGGTAAGCCTGTAGGATTCTGTTTAAAACACAGCCGTGTACGTGTTCGTACAGCTCGCAGCGACTCGCAGCTGGCAAGACTTGTTTAGTCCGGTCTGGGGTGTATGGAGACTTGGAGCAGTTCTTGGAGCTCTGTAGGCATTCAAGTAGCCCACGACATCCTGCATCCAACATTAGAATGCTGCTGACTTCCCACTTTCTACCAGCAAAAAGGCTTGCTTTATGCATTGCTCCTCGAGCAGGCTATGGAGATGATGCAGATGCTCTTGGAGGCTGGGGCGGAGGTCAACATGGTCGATGCCAACGGCGACACTCCCTTGTCGCTGGTACAGTGTCAACTGGAAAAGTGGTGCGATCAGCCGCAGATGTATGCTACGTTTCGTGAAACTCGCAGCTTGTTGTGCGAAGCTGGTGCAGATCCGACACTGCTGACCGTTTCTGTTTGAATGAATCTCGGCTCCCGAATCATGCATGCTTTTAACTGTACAGCCGCAAAAATCGCAGCGCCGGAGCTCTGTCCCCAACGAGGATGCCTCAACGGTGAGAGACGCTCATGCCGAAAAGCCCGTTGTCTCGTAGCTTCAATCGCATGGTCAGCATTGCATGGAGGCTTCTTCAGGGAACTTGAGTGTGACAGCGGATTACAAGTCCCGGACCAAGCATTCGAGAAGCGGCTCTCTCTTACTCTATGCAGCTATGCCTCTTCAGTTTTGCAGATGTAGTTTTCGGTACAGGTTGCCTTGCCGCATTCGAAAACCCCACTGTGCATTGTGCTGCACAGGGCTCGACCTCTGCCAATATCTGCGCAGAATATGGTTGAATTGGGGCTTCTGGTTAAGGGCTTTGGGTCGGAAGGAGTCAGAGCTGACTCTCTGCAGGCCGTTGTTCTTCCGAGTTTAGGGTGGGCCTCTGCGTACAGTCTTGTGTTTTTCCCGGGGTTGAGGGAACATGATACTTTTGATAGACGCCGGGCGAGATGGCTTGGCTTCATGACTGATTCCTTATTTAACCTAGACCTAAAGTTAGGAGGCTGCGACTCTCTTTAATTGGCCGACTGCTCGTAATCAAGTTCTACGTAGTATGTATAAGAATACCACTCATCCTACAAGCCATATGAATCATGTCAGGTGCGTGCGGCAGGTGACCCGAGGTGCAACAGGCAAGACGTCCCCACCTTGCAAAGGGTCACGACGAATGTCGGGTCGTTCGGGTTTTGTTTGCCATCGTGCAATGGGCTCCCCGTGACTGTCCACTCGTCATCAGAATCAAGCAAACCGCAGTGACGAACAGTACAGTCGAGGGCAAACTGCGCAGCCTCTCTCGACGTCAGGCATTGACTGGCAGCGCCGGACGCTGAGGAATGCTGCAGGGCTTCGGGACGCTAGGTCCCAAGTCGAGGTTTGCAATGGATGTGTGGGAGAGTTCACACTGAGGGCCTCTAAGGCTAGAGCAATGTAGGCAGCAGGGTGTAGGATGTGTCTGCTGTCCGGCTTTGATGTAATGTGAACTGCGGGCTTCGGGGTTTAAACCTTGTCCGCCTTGTCCCTAAAGCCTCAGCCCGAACTTGAAACCAACGAGAGCCCGACACGACAAAGGGGTGGGCCGAAAATCATTCATTTCACTCCAAAAATTGGCATGCATAGGGCATGCGTATTCGAACGAAAAAACTGCCACTCGTGCGGGCCACTCGTGCGGCAGTGACCACTGAGAAGAGTTTGACTCGATTAAAGCGCTGGCACTGACGGCAGTGTTTAGGCATGTTTAAGAGGCGAGCTCGAGCACTCCTATTAACTTGCTCAGGCAGCATTGCAAACGGTCAAAGATCCCATAGTTTTGTCTGTCTTATCGCCCTGTGCCGGCTGTGTTTGCAGGTCATGCATCATGCAGCATGCCTTCGTCGGAAAGCGGCTGCTGCTGTTCCTTGCTTGCTGCTTGTATCAATGGGGGGGTTGTGCTCAATGCAATGTGTTAGTGACTTGCTCGTTCGTGCTGGCATCGCATTGGTTTCCAAATCGACGGTGCTCATAGATCGAAGCCTGATTCGTGCTGATCATCAAAACCTTGTCCTGCAAAGAGCTTGCTTCTTACGGCTCATGCAACGTGTGGCTAAGCTGTGAGTTGTCTCCCAGGGCTCGTTCGACCTGTTCATTACTGTTGGTTGTATTGTGTTGATGATCCATACTGTATCATGAGAAGCTTGAGGACTGGCAGCATGCCTCGCAACTCTCCGCCCGACGAAACGGCCAATAATTCTTTGGAATGGTTCGGTGCCCAGATCCTGTTGACCGGTTATCATCGGTAGAAGCGGGCAAGCTTCAGGCTCGAAATGCGGACATGTGATATTTCCCGCTGTCTTAAACGACCACGAACCACAGGAAGAAGGATCTTTTAAAGCAAGAGCATCCGTCTGCCGAGTTTCAGAAGACGTAAATGGCTGTGGTGCATTGCCATGCGATGACAGTTTTCCTCTCCCCGTTCCGGAAATTATTAGCTCGCACTAGCCTCTTGGTTATTTTCATTGCACAGATAGCACTCTGGTCGGAACGGGCTCACGGGAAAAGCCAAGAGGGGAGAGCTGATTTCAAGCCGTCCGCCGCGGCCCGGTCGAGGGGAAGAGTGCCCCATTAGCAGGTTCAGGGTGTGCAAGGCGACAAATGTGGGGGCAATACTCGCAGTTTTTCGGTTTTTCAGCATATCAGCAGGGGCTTCCAGTCCAAGCGCACCGTCCAGGGTGAGAATCTCTCGTCGTGGGGACTGGAAGCCCAAGTCGAATTTTACTGGGGGGGCCGGGCGGGCAGCTGCTGGGAATGGACTGATGGAGAGGAGCGGAAAGACGTTTTGACAAGGCAACGGGCTAACCTCCCGGGCCGAGGCGGTTTGAAATATGCAGCCCTCCACCCCCCAGATGAGCAGGCATCATCTCATCATTCCGCAGCCGGAAAGACATGCCTTCGGAACGGACATTTAATTTGTGTGGCACACCTGAGACTCCCAGAAAGCAGTATCAAGGTCTCGGGGAGCAAATCGCAAACTCGCAACCTCGAATAGAAGTCGCTCCCAAACCTGTAGTTAAGATAGTCTCGGCTTCCCAAGAAGTTCCCGCACCGCTGATGTGAGGCATCCAGCTGAGTCCTGCTCTGGGCTACGCTGCCATGAGCCAGGGGCTCGAATTTGGGGTCTTGGTGGGCATGAAGTGTGCGATTGAGAGGGGTCTAACCGTGGCTCCTGGGCACTGATATCTGCATCCCGTTCTGTGATGACACTACACTGCCCAATAGTGGAGACACCACTGCATGTTCATTCAATTCTGATTCTGCCGCAGCCTAGAGTGTCTCATTTGACAGCCCCTCACGTGGGAACTTGCCCCGCATCGGATGGCTCAGTTCGGCAAGGCTAGAACTTTTGCTCGCAGTTGACTGCAAGCGCGAGCCGTCGGGTGCTGTTCTGGTCGCTGGTCCTTCCAGACTCACCAGCTTCCCACGGAGTTTGCAGGTGAAGATTGCCCTCCAAGAAGCTCATGACAACGAGAAGCAGAAGGGGCACCAACAATTTTCGTACAAAGAAGCTGCTCGCCATCGGAGTGTTTCTAAAGCAGTTGTGGCTCAATAACCAGCAAGGTTTGATATAGCAATTTAGCGATGGTCCGACGTTGCTTGAGGTGTTGAAGCAGACTGGCGAGAAGCTGCGCAAGTGCAGAATCGACTGCGAGGAGTCGAAAAAGTTTGAGCAGAGCCAGCACGACGGGCAGCTGAGACTCGATGCCATAAGAGGAGCAAACTGTTGGGGAGCCGTCTCTGTCGGTGTGACTCAGGACGCATAGACTTTGTGTCACCTGGCGGGTTGGCACAGAATCCTTTCGCCAACATGGCGACGCCCGTTCGAACAAAAAGGATGCAGAAGCTTGGCGGCAGAAAGGCATGGCCTTGTCGACAAATCCCTAAATCTAGTCTCCGGCTGAGGAGAGAAGCGCATGGGAGATGCTCTACCGGCAGGTAGCCAGAGCCGTGGAGGAGGCGAAATGACGAAAGATTTCGTTTCCAAGGAGATGTGTCTGTCGGTGAGAGTCTAATGCGGAGGCCGAACAACATCAGGTCCCCGTCGTGGTGGAGCTGAATCGCGTGCTTCCTTCGGCGAGGTTTGGGGTGTCTTGGCGAGCACCAGTATCACATGGTTCAAGAGGTGGCATCAAAGCGTGGGGTGCACATTTAAACTGACCCCAGGCTAGTGACCTGCCAGATTGGTTAGGGCAACCGTGACGAATGGAGCAACGAGCAAAGCCGGGCGCCTGCCACTTTGCCACAAAGCATCCTGTCTTCTGGGCAAATCCTCGCAAGTAAGCCCACTAGCGGCTAGAAGGCATCCTGTGCAAGGGTTCGTCGCCCAGGGATAGTTTGTGTTTCAGCTTGGTATTGAGGCAACTCGACCCCTTATTTAACAGCAAAAGCGCATGGGACGTGTTTGCACTGCATGGTGCAATGAGGCTGCCCACGTGTGGTCCATGCAGCGATTCATGCAGTGCACGGACATCTTTTCTTCTTGTGCGCCTTTACTGCAGTCTGCTTGAAGGACGGAGTTGGTACACCAACGTTGCAAGCATCGCCGATTGTTGCTTGGTCCAAGGCGTCCGGCGCAGGAGATGCACAAAGCAACGCCGCTTTCTCGAATATCATGGATATGTGTGCTGGAAAATAGGGTCACCAGGAAGCGGTCATTTGCACAGCCTTCCCTGCGTCTGGGAAGTAGAGGGAGGAGATTTGTCGTCAGCGGTCCGACACCCTGCACCTGCCGCAATTTCGGATTTGGCAGCAAAGCTGCATACTACTCTACAAAATCACCATTTTTTCATTCGGTAGCGATAGAGTCTCGATCAGACGCACGCCTAGCAAGAACATGAATTCTGGAATGTGCCAATCCCCAGTGTGTTCTCACGATCCAGTTAGTAGCGCGTCGTGCAGTAATCTGAGCGATCGCACATAACCGAGGAAGAACCACAAAGAGTCAACTGGCAGTGCTGTGCGCCAAAGACATCTCTGTGGAGCACATGCCCGTTCAAAGCCGAAAAGGTTACGTAATTGGCCATCAGAGCATCAGACGGTGGCCAAGAAGGCTGTCACCAGAAGGATCTTTCCAATATGCTTTGTCTTCTACCTTTCTTTGGCTATCAAAGCACCAGGCAAAAGTACAACCCAAATTAAATGAGTCGGCAACGGACCTACGACGTGCAGGATCTTCCTCATGGGTATCGGATCCCTACACAGATAGCATTCCCAGGATGTCAAAAAAACCGACGTCGCAGCATGAAAGCCGTAGGACCTCCACACTGAAAGAAAAATCGCTGTTGCATCACTCACTTGCTTAGGAAGTGCTAATTCGGAGACTCGGGGCCATCAGATCCAACACCTCGCCTTCTGTGCATAACCCCTCTCCGTACTACGTGCAGTCTGTGCCAGCTTTCCGCGTGATGATCCAGATGCCCTCTGCTGGCGAGCCCCTGTTCTGCATGAGAACGCACGTATGGAATGCCAGCGTCGTCTTGAAGCTAGCCGCAAACCCCTCTACCGTGCGTGTCTTCCATACCAATCATCAACATGGCCACCTGACGAGCTTCTGTTCTGCTTGATGGCGCGCACCTGGAAGGCCAGCTTCTTCTTGAAGCCATCCGTAAAGTCCCACGCGCCCATACACCCCAACACGTCGGGTAGGGGCCAAACCTCCTGTGCATGGCACGCATGCAATCATGCACAGCATGACCGTAGCCGGCAGACGCACCCATGGCGAGTGCTGGGGCCTACAATATTCCTGCCTTGTGCAGGCGACTTGGGCCCTCCAGAATCACAAATGAAAATGACAGTTTGCTGCGAGCGGGTAGCCCCAGACGTTCTTCATGCTCACGACCCAGTATATTCAGTAGTGCTGCCCTAACAGGCAGCGCCACCTTGATTCTAACCGTGTGGCCTGACAGATTCTCCAGGACAACCAGCGCACATGCAGACTCGCGCAAACGGCCATCATGGAACTGTGACGGGGTGAATTTCAACATGTCAATTTTCGCAAAACGGGCTGGTTCGGGGGAAAAAGGGTTTTATTTTTTTGGTTACCGGTTTTGTTTTTTTTGGGCCTGGCGGCTTGTGGGGATAACTTCGTGTAAATCTCTTGTAGGTGCCCTAATGCCTACAGTCTTTGAGTCTTTGAGCTTCGTTCTAGCCTATTTCCTACGTATATGTATGTGTGTGTATGTCTGTGTGTCTGTGTCTCTGTGTCTCTGTGTGTCTGTGTGTGACTGTGTGTGTGTGTGTCGTGTGTGTGTGTGTGTGTGTCTGTGTGTGTGTGTGTCTGTGTGTGTCTGTGTGTGTCTGTGTGTGCACCAGACCAAAAGCAAAATACAAAACACACACCACACAATAACCATAGGATCACATATTTTTCTCACCCGAAAAAATCCTGAAAAAAAATTAAATCCACCAAAAAAAATTAAAATCCCGAAAAAAAAATAAAATCCAGGAAAAAATAACATCCCGAAAAAAAAATAAAATCCCGAAAAAAAAATAAAATCCCGAAAAAAA